CGCGACAACTTGCAATGTCATCTCGCGGCAGTGAGTGTCAAAGTGCGCCCCCTATCGCGTTCAACGTGAGAAGGCCACTTCTTTTAAAACAACCCTTGTTGTGAGAAGTTACAGTGGAGTTGTTAAAAACAAAAACAACACGAGGTTATTCGCTTGGCCGGGAGAGTTCAAAACAGAGTCTCCGTCTCATGACTTGACACCGATGCAATACAATTGTTTGAAAACTATTTCTAGAGAACTGTGTCAGAGTTGCGGTAACATACGGCGCATGGCAGCCAACTGGTGGCAACGTGTGAACGCACTCTTGATTAGACGTTTCGATCGCAAGTCATCGTCCTCAGGTGTATAATGCCTCGTCACAGTTGGCATGTTTCTCTCTTTCACCTGAGGACGGTCGCTTATTGTTGCGATCGAAACGTCGTGATCTATTACTTGTTTATTTTCCTATCTACCTGACTTTACCGAAAGAGCCTAAGAGTATGTGTGAACGCACTGTGAACATGCAGCCCACAACCTGGCACCGTGGACCCACCGCGCATCGAAATTCAGTAAAATAAGAACAATTAAGGCGCGGGCTGTAAAGGTCGTGGGGTTGTTGCCGACGATTTATCGCGCCCTCTTGCCAATTAAATTAATCGCCACAAAGCCACCGAGTAGCGATTCCATTCAAGCATCGATTGTTGTTTTAACGTTGTGATTAATGCAGCGGCCCCTAGTGGCTGGAGGGATGGGCACGCGCGACCCGATGCATGCATGTAACGTGAGTTTAAGAGTCGATATGAATCGATTATTAATCGTTACACCCCTATCCCCCTTCCTATTATAACGTCCCTTCCAAAGGTATCGTGTGACACTTGGTATCTGTTTAAATTATAATAATTTAAAGCGCTTTGTCAATCCACTGCCGGATGATAATCGGCGTTGTTTGACCATACATCGCCACGTTTGGGTGGAGTGGCCCCGCAACAGCTTCAGACGTCAATCGCCTCGAGTTGTTGTTGACCGTGTCCGGGAAATCGAACTGAGGGCGCCGATTATGTAACTGCACGTGCAGGTTTTTCCTCGCGTCGTGCGGTAGATGCGTTCCGAAAGAAAAAAAATAAGGGGCACAACACAAAGCGAAAACCGCTCGCACTGCACGAACGATGCCCCCGCGCCAGACCGCAAAAGCCGCACATTGACAGAGAATTCAAACCGCATGGAGCGAATTTAGTAGAGAAATAGGCGAGTCGCATTCACGCGAAATCGCACAAAACGAAACTCGCATGGAGCGAATTTAGTAGAGAAATAGGCGAGTCGTATTCACGCGAAATCACACAAACCGAACCCGCATGGTGCGAATTTAGTAGAGAAATAGGCGAGTCGCATTCACGCGAAATCGCACAAACCGAACCCGCATGGTGCGAGGGAAAGCCCGTATAGTTCTGTACTCTACGGCCGTTTTGTTAATCCACTGCTGGATGACAACCACCCCACGCCGTGTCAGCCGCGTGATTTGCTCGACCATCCTTCGCCCTGCTGGTCAACTGCAGGTGGGCGAAAGAGGGGGCCCATATATCAAACACGTTTGGCTGCAAATTTAATTCAGGTCGCCGGATTAAATAACCGACCAGTGCGCTAACCAATGCGCCACCGCTACAACCCCACCAACAACCCCCCCCCCCCAAAAAAAAAAAAATGTACTGCAATTGTACCGGGTCTTAGAATTATGTTGAACTGCACCACTATTGCACCTCTCATTCGCATGCACGAGCAACGTCGAATGTCCTGGACACACAGGGCTTGACATCGAGTGGCGCTGGCATGCTCCCAAGGCACGTACAAACATCGGCTGTACAAAGCAAAGCGCTCCTTGCAGCAACAACAACAACAACAAACACCCAGCGGTAATGATATCGGTTACCGTTTCAGATTTTAAAAATCAACAACAACAATAAAAACGACGCAGAACATTTCAACAAAAAGTAAATCCGTGCAGTTTATAGCGACGACTGAGTCGCGCGGATCTCCACACTGCGAGACGGAACGCTTTGCGAGTTATTTATCCAGGAGAGAGCCGCACCACCGAGTCCAACGACTCCCTTTTTGTTTGTTAGTTTCCAAGCAGGGTCATCCTGCAGTTGTTTTCAACGAATTGAACGAGTTATTTATACGCGCGGGAGGAAGGCGGAGCACTCCGGAAGAAAACCCAACGCTCAGCGTAGACGCAACAGTCTGAACCCCGTACAGATGGAAGCAGAGACGAGATCCACACTCGCTGCGCCGCCTTTCACAACGTTGCGTGCGGCGGGTCCACCAACCCTCGCCTCCTGCACGGCGCCGGGTCGCTAAGGCCACGTGCATAGCCACCATCGCCTGGCGTGTACACGTGGGCGCACGTGTACGCACGTGGGCTCACGTGGGAACACGTGGGCTCACGTGAACACTAGTGCACGCCACACGTGAACACGCGTACACGTGGTCCCAGGCGGAGGGGCAATGGTTGAGTCTAGTGCGTAGAATGGCTTCATTCCAAATTGCTTATCGTCCCGAGCTGTTGAGAGCTGAATTCACGCGTTTTTCGATTGGCCCCATCCCCGTCGCAAGACCAACTGGTTTCGAGGCAGAAGTTTATCCGATTATCGCTGTACTTAGCCAGGGATCCCGGAAGGCACTTTAAGACCTAAGGCACTTTTATTTATTTATGTATTATATAAGGTTCTAGTGATCCTGCCAGTACTGCATTGGCCGTGTTGCCATAGACACAGATAACAACATTCAACGCGTTCGTCAATAACACCGTGGCCTTAAAAAGGGGGAAAATACATATTTTCATTAAGGGCCATTGCCCGAAACGTCGCCTTTTATACCTCTCCTTTTGGGGCAAGTGCTATTTGACGAATGCGTTCGGTTCCTCATTTTATAATGCACAGTGTACGCAGTGTGATCCGTATATAGATACCCCACTAAAACAACGCAGATATATCGACAACATTTAGACCCATCCCACCAAACACAATACGTGTAAATATTCAATCTGGTATCTGCTCTCCTCTTCTAAGGTACGGAGCCATCGCCTCCACACATGTTTAGTCGCCGGATCGAGAGAAATACAGGGCCGTAAATAAATCTTGGGGGGGGGGGGGGGGGGGGGTATCTATAATTGGATCACTCTGTATGTTCGTGCCCACGTGCGTGTGTATGCGGCAACAGCAGAGCGAGTTGGCACGGGTGGTGCTTTGGCCCCTCATCTCAGTAAGGCGACCCGTGGCACCTGCTGGGTCTGCCCCGTGGCCTCAACGTGCACCTAGTCTGGCACAGGCGACGTGGCGACGTCACCGCCACTTAGTGCCGAATGGCGGTGGTTGTTGTTGTTTATATTTATTGTGTGAGGCAGCGGTACTCAAGGTATCGATATTTGTTCTGCACCACAGTCCCTCCCTCCCACCACGATTGAACGTGGCTGACGATGATGTCGCTGATGATGACCACGATGACCCATCATTGGCCGGGCGTGGATGCCACTGGAACAATTTTAAAATTAAATTGAAAACTCATTTAATTTAAAACTGCTTTTTAGCGTTTAGTTTGGCGTCTCCCCCACCCCCCGCACCTCCGATTACCACCATTGGCTACGTACGGTGCGAAAGAACGCCAACACACGGACACACTGGTTATCCCACCCGCTCGCGTGTGCCCTGTCCGCCTTCACAGGGGCTGGTACTCGCTCACAGCACGTGCCGCCAGCAGTCTGTTACAGGCGATACGGGAGGAGGGGGGGATGGAGGGTTGGGGGTGGAGTGGGGGGGGGGGGGGGGTTGGGGGGGGGAGTTGGGGGGGGAGTTGAGGGGGGGGTTGGGGGAAAGTTTTCGGGGGGGTTGTGGGGAGTTGGGGGGGGGTTGGGGGGGGGCGACCCACCACCACCACAATCGGCCCCGACTTGACGGATTGAGGAGTCGTTCGAAAACAGCACGGGGGGCGGGGGGGGCCCGGGGGGGGCAGGGGAGTCCGGGGGGGGGCGATGTCCGGAGCGAAGTCCGACGGTGTGGGCGCTCCCACCCTGGTGATGCGGGGAGCTTCTTTCGTCTTCTTCCGTGCCGCGGGAGCTTCGGGAGGCAGCGCCTAACGCGGCACCCGGCACTTGGAACGAAGCGGCACAGCGGTGGGCAGAACCCCGGGACACACGGGGTGAGCCACAGCACACTCGTCGTGTTCCCCGACTCATCCTCATTCGTCAATGTGCGTGTGTACGCGTGTGTGTGTGTGTATGCGTGTGTGTGTGTATGCGTGTGTGTGTGTGTATGCGTGTGTGTGTGTATGCGTGTGTGTGTGTATGCGTGTGTGTATGTGTATACGTGTGTGTATGCGTGTGTGTGTGTATGCGTGTGTGTGTGTGTGTATGCGTGTGTGTGTGTATGTGTGTGCTATGAACCGGCGACCCGGGTTCGATTCCCGCTCACGGCCAACACCCAGTGACGATTATCTGAGCCGGTCCTGGGCCCACCCCCCCTAGGTCGACTCAGCCTCAAATGAGTACCTGGTGCGGTGTGTAAACATCGCCACTGGAGAGACAAAGGCGGTCAGGCGTGGTGCTGGTCACCCACCCCCTCGTGTACCGTTCCGGCCTTCATAGGTGCTCGCTAACAGCACTAGCCCCAACAGTCTGTTAAGGCTATACGGGGGATCTTTGTGTGTATGGGGAGCGGTAGTGTAGCTGTTAGCGCGTTGCGCTATGAACCCGGCGACCCGGGTTCGATTCCCGCTCACGGCCAACACCCAGTGACGATTATCTGAACCGGTCCTGGGCCTCCCCTAGGTCGACTCGGCCTCAAATGAGTACCTGGTGCGGTGTGTAAACGTTGTCACAAGGGAGACAAAGGCAGCCGCGCGTGGTAATGGCCACCCCACCCCCTCGTGTTCCGTGCCAGCCTTCATAGGTCCTTCACGAAATTCACTTGCCCCAACAGTCTGGTAAAGGCTATATGGGGGATCTTGATCTATTTTGTTATTTATGCGTGTGTGTGTGTATATATATATTACTATGCTACCTTCAAAATCCAGTCACCCGTCTCTGGAACAAAACGAGGCTGATCCAACTCGTCATGCGTCATGTCAAAGAGTCACTTGACAATGCGTCACCGTCAAGCGCGACCGTATTTTCATTTACACGCGATGTGCGAGCGTGCCCCAAGTGATTCACATAACAATGGTGATGATTAACAGCCTTGTTTGACCACGCTTGTTTGACCTCGCTTGTTTGACCTCGCTGGCCAGTGCGAGTTGGTGAAGGGGGTGAGTGGGCGAGGGGGTGCCCGTTTAGAAAACCGGTTCTTGATACGTATTTTGTGCTCGGGTTCGGTAGGTCACTTGGTAATGTTACGAGGCCTAACCCATAAACAAATACCCATCATTGCATTGGCTACGAACGCCTACGTTTTAAGTTTAAAACAACAAAAACCTTGTCCCTTATATCGCTCGCCAATGATGTTGGCCGTAGCCGATAATGATCGATTATAATCGAGAAATATCGGTTATGATAGATAATTATCGATTATAATCGAACTCAGGTTGGCGGGTTCTTAACGCGGGTGCGCGCTAACAAATGCGCACCCGTCTCATCACCCCTCCCCCCACCCCCGTCGTGTGATTTAGCCTCGGAGGCCAAACGTCGAGTGCCTTTATATAAGTGCGATATTTCTAAATTCCATACAAACACCGCGCGCGCGTGGACACGCACACACTCTCTCTCTCTCTGTGTGTGTGCCAGTCAGTAGGGTGGCGTGGTTCGAGCATGTGCCCTGGCGCAAGGCGATGGCGTGGGGGAGGACCGCAGGACAATATCACCCCCTCTTCACGGGCGCCTCCCCGGTGCGATGAACTTCCTTCGCACCGTAACGTAGCCCGCGGTGCTCATCGGAGTTGCGGGGATAAATCGGAGGCTGCAGCCGCCCTCCCCCACCGACAGCCGCCGCGCACCTCTGCTCTCAAATCTTCCTCTCGCGTGCCCTACAGCTGCGCATGGTCGTGGCCGCCACCGCCACCACCCCCACCACCCCCACCACCACTGCTCTACGGCGCTCCCGCACGCGAGATTTCCACTCGCGCGAAGCCGCCAGGCGCCGTTCAAAAGACGAGCCTCGGGTTGTGGGTCAGGCTGTGCCGCCGCAGGTCACAGTTACGCCGGAACACTTTGCCGCACTGTTCGCAGTTGTAGGGCTTGATGTCTGTGTGCGTTAGCAGGTGAGTCTTGAGGTTACTCCTCTGGTTGAAGGTCCGGCCGCAAGTCGGGCACTTGTGCGGCGACTCCTGGTGAAAGAGCGGGGGCCCCCCTTCATCGGGTGCTTAAAGCTGCACACCGCAAACAACCAGCGCGGCCCCCAACACCACAGCGCACGCCCCACTTTGGGCTATTCCTTGAACGGAAACCTCGCACGCTGCGCCGCGCAAAAAAAAAAAACACCACCACCAACCACCCACCACCACATCGCCCTCGTTCAACGCCAATCTTTCGCAAAAGCAAAAAAAAAAGAACAAAAAACCGGGTCCGCAACCCCGAAAGGCGATGAGTTGCACAATCTGACCGCTCGAGAATTCGCCCGCAACTCACTCGTCGCCCGCGACCGATTTTTGGCCACGTCTGAGCGACTGGTTTGCGCAAGACGGCAAATTGAACGGGCGTATTCGAGTGAGTATCGGGTCCACTAAAAAAACACAAATCGCGGTTCGCAAACGTGCAGCTCGCGTGGCGACCTTGGTCAAATAGGTCGCTGCAAATCGCAGAGCAGATCGCCTGCTTGACGACAGGGAACCGTCTCTACGCAGAGCCACCCAGACGCGCAACTTCTAAGCAACCGGTTGCAGAACGCGTCGACATGTAAGCGAACTAGCTGCGTGGGAGCGAGTTGCGCAACTCATCTGAAGGGCGTGGGACTCGGCTTAAGAGCGATAGAGTCACGGAGCGTGACGCTTCGCTTCACTTCATTCATGGGTCGCCTGGCCCCTCACTATGGACACTTAACATTTGACTCCTGGCACAGAGCGGGTGATGGTAACGGTCATTGAAGCGAGAATTGATCTCAACAGGGTTCTGTCCGGGTCATCGATCCCGCAAAATATTGGCCTTGCCCGGCACATAAATAGCGCGGTTGGTTACGTAGGGTGCGAAAGAAGTTCAAAATACGTACACCACATCCAGTATTCCTCTCGCTATGGGGTTGTGGCTGCTAGCCTACTGCATGCAGGTTACCAGCTACCGCAGACAATATTCAATTAAGTCATGTATACTATATATATATACTTTGCTGTTATAATACACACGCAGGAATTAATATTTGGCTTAAAAATTTTCACTGATAATTTTCCAGTCACTGCTACGCGAGGGTAGGCACGCGACTCGAAGCGGCAGCAACATCTTAGAGCGTTACTGGATGTGGTGTTCCGGGCGATTCAATACACTTTACGGTGTCGTTGACCTGCACAAACAAGGCTAAAAATTAAGTAGCGTACATTACAGTAAGTAACTTTCACGATATGATACAATACGCTTATCGATATTCGTTTGTTTGGGTGAGGCTACGTGAAAGCGTTATGCCAAAATTATTTTGAGATGTTAACTACCTCGCCTGGTATACAGGCATTCGTGGGTTAGATCCCGACCCTGACGCCTGCTGTATATTTGGAGTTTGCGTGTCTCTCTCACCAAAGTCGCGTGGATTTTTCTCCAGGTCCTTCGGTGCGTTTAGAGTATTCGACTGCCATAAATGTTTACACGATGAGCCACTTCGGTGAGCTATCATTTGTGATAGTCAGGTCGCTTCTGAAAAGGAGCTGCGTAGCTCAATAGGCCTTACCTGGTAAAATAAAATGTTTGGTTTAGTTTGCCATAAACCTTCAACCACCCGACAAGATGATCACGTTGAGAATTTACATCTGATTGTATATTAGTTATAATAACACAATTATGTTAATGGCATGCATAACGCTTCTCATGCAGAGTTTCCAAAACTCCAGTCCTTACGACCCACCACACGATGTCTTTCCCCGTTTACCAATTTACTTCCCCCCCCCCCCCCCCCAATTGAAATACAAATTAACGCGTTTCACGCTGCACACGCCCGATGACTGTTAAACACGCCCAGCGGTGGCGCGCTGTCAATTTGCTCAAATAGGTGTTGATGGTGAAAGCAGAACAATAGGAGCACGTCGCACCTCGTGTAAGAACCGGTGATGGCTGTTTGCATCGCGCACAAATGTGGCCGGGTTGTTCATCGTATCCACGTGTTTGTGCGTTTTGTTTGAAGGAAAAATAAAAAAAGCGTTTGTTTTCCCATCTGCGTTATCATTGTTACGGTGATTGAGGTTATTGTGTCATTTACAGATTTGATGTGTCAGTCTGTTGGAAGGGGACTGGCAAGCCGTTCGTTAACGAGGTTATTTAAGTTGAATTAGGTTGAAAGCGTCCATGCTGTTGTTTTGTCCGTCCGTCCGTAACACGGGGTCACGTTGACTCTTGTGACGATTTTCTTTTTGATGTTTATTTTACCAGGTAAGGCTCACTGAGCTATAGAGTTTTTTTTCAGGAGCGCCTTGGCCACAAATGATAGCTCAACGAAGTGTCTTATCATGTGGTAATGTATAGCAGCCGAATTATTTAAAATCGTGATTTCGATTCTAAATGTGGTGGGAAACACCGTAGGACCCGACGAAAAGTCCACGCGACAACGCGGAGAGAGACACCACAACTCCAAATATATATAGCAGGCGTCAGGGTCAGGATCGAACCCACGACGTCCTGTATACCGGGCGCGGTAATTAACATCTCCCAGCCACCGCGGTGCCTCCGATGATCCAGCAACGGACGAAAGTTGAGAGTGTAAAGTCGCGTTGCTGTTCGGGGCTTACCTCCGGTAGAGAGTCCGCCACATTGCTCGAAGGTGCGGCCCAAATTTGGGGACGTTTAACCATTTCAAAGTTGACTAACGGACGTCCACGGTCGGCTACGCAACGTTGGCAAACAAATGTTGGCGCAGCGCGAGGCAACTTGGCATCACACCACGCGCTCATTGCCAGGGCCTCGGTGCGGCATTCGTGACAATGCCGAACGTTGGTGGGGGTGGGGGGGAAAGGTGGGACACTCCGGTATGCTATACTAACAATTATATATATGTAGATAAATGCATTGCTCTTTTCCATGATAAACTTTTTTTTTCAATGTGTCGTCAACACCAGCCACCAAACCGTCGAGACCAGCCAATTTGTCAGGTCTTGTCACGCACACAAAAGGTGTGAGTTGGTTGCTACTTCAGCACACCGCGTTGTGCCTTGGAGAGGAAACCCACAACATTTACAACCGGATTCATCTGGCGATTTTGCCGGAATTATTTTGGATAATATTGGTCGTGAAAGCCAACGTGTTAAACGTACAGCTCCTTTGTCAATCTACTGCTGGATGAGGGCCTGCACAAGCCAGCCATGTGAGACGTGGAGGTTGTGTGGCCATACTTCACCACGCTGGTCAGTGCGGGTTGGTGAGAGGGTGGGGGTAAGGGTGGGAGGGGGTGGGGGTTGGACCGTGATTACTTGCCACTGATGTCAGACGTGGCCGGTAATCGAACGAACTCAGTTTGCAGAGCACTAGCGCTAATCACTGCGCAACCGTTCCACCCCGTGGAGATAGGGCATATATATATACACACACACACCCCAATTTATCTAGGGTTTGTTAAGTAATTGGTTTCGTTGTGGGCTGGATGCACATCCATTGTGATTCTCGAGTCACGTTGGCGAAGCCTGCTGCTCAGAGTGCCACGTGCCACGTAACGGTGAGCGCACTGCGCTTTGTGAACTCGGCCGTCTGAGTTCCCATTGTGAGCCACGGTCAACGTGAGCGGTGAGCGACATCTGAAACGGTCATGGACCCCTCTACCCCCTCCCCGTTCCCTCCAACCCCATTCACAAGCCCGCACTGGCAGCGTGGTGAAGTATGGCGAAACAACCCCGTACGAACGACGCCCGCGTGGATGGGCCAGTGTTACGTGACGTTTCGACGGTCGATTGACAAAGGAGTGGTAAATGTGAACATATATTACATCTGAAAAGTGATTGTGAGCGAGGCTTCGAGCCATCGTCAAGTTTTAATAATAATAACAATAGCAACAACAATAACGGCGCGATTCGCCTGACTGGAAGATGTTGTCTCCGTGTGCTTCACGCATGCAACGTGGGACCGAGTCCGTTTCGTTCAGATCAAGAGCTCACAAAGGGGGCTGCGTAATGTCGTACGATATATAAAAACAATAAATCAACTCAACAGCACGCGTGCACGCTTCACTTGCGAGCAAGAAGGTTGCAACGTGACACGAAACTGCACCAAACGTCGGTGCCAAAAAATGATTATCCCGGAGTTATTTTATGAAGAGCCCTTGTATAGGCGTAACGCGCGCGTCTTAAATTAACTAGGAGAAACGAGTTTAGTTTTTTTTTTTAAATATATTTGACCAAGTTGGGCTGACTGAGCTGCATAGCTCTCTATCAAAAGCGACCTGGCTATCACAAATGATGGCTTCACGAAGCGGCTCATCACGTGGATATGTATTGCAGTAGCCAAATCATCTCAACGCACTTTGATTCCGAATGCGGAGGGGGAACCGGAGGACTCGGAGAAAATTCCACCTGGCCACGGGGAGAAAGAGAGAACACGCAAACTCCAAATATACAGCAGGCGTCAGGGTTCGGTATCGAACCGACGACCTCCTGCATACCGGGCGAGGCAGTCAACAACCTCGCCGCTGCGTTTTAAACTCGCCGCGACATTCAGAAGCTCAACCATCGCGGTGTCCGCGATGGTTGAGAAGTTGGCCCCGTGTCATCTGGGCCACGGCTTTACCTGCATGTGAAGGGTCTTGTGCACGGCCAGTGTCCTCGACTGACAGAAGCCCTTCCCGCACTCCTGGCACTTGAAAGGTTTCTCCTTCGAGTGGATGTACCTGCACACGCGGACGTCAAGGGGAGCGCGACGCGCCCGCAAAGTTACGTCGCGGAAGACGTGGCGCCCGCCGCCGGCTGTCTCCGTCCGAGGCGTCTTAGCGTGTAGGGTGGTCCCCAAAGATGGGAGACGCATACGTGCGGCGAGAAGGAAGTTCACCAATGCGTGCGCAACACACGCGCACAGGATTCTTTCGCTTAGTTTAACAGTGGCGTCAAAACGATACAACTCCTGTCGCGCTTGTCTGGCTTGGAGCACGTGAATGTGAAATGGTCGTAAAATCAAGATTGGTAGTTGTGAACTCTGCGTCGACATCGGCAGCCATACGAAAGAAGAAGATGCCGAAGAAGACTAAAACTGTTTTTTCTTAAAGTTAATATTTTATCTACGATCATTATTAATTTCGATGTTTGGTCATGTTCCTGTCGGGGTCACCTCGAATTCTTCGTTGACAAAACTCGACCAAGAATCCCGAATGAATAAATAAATGAATTGAGACGAAACGTAATCGATGAATGTTCAAAGATGACAGAGCTCTGATCTTTACAACAACAACAAAGTCCTGAATTAATCTCTAAAGATAATTCATGCATCACGAATGAATGTTGATGGAAATGAGTTTGAATATTAGAAAAAAAAAATGAAATAACCGAATGTGATTTGTGCAAATAAATAGAATTAAACTTGATTTGAAGCTTTTGTGACTGCAGGAACTACTCTTTGGTCCTTTCGGTAAAGTCACGTAGAAAGTAAATCAATTAAATAGTAATGCAATGCAACGCAGAGAGTCGGCTAACACACAGTTAACGCATAGCCTGGTTGATGACGTTCTCTAAATTAGAAGTTACTAGAATAACCCGATGTGTCAATGTTGCACGTGTGGCTAACTCGACCGCTGCGAATTACTCTATAAATGTACTGTACGTGAGTGGTTGTTAAATAAAACTAATTATTATCATTTCAGTAATGCTGTTTTATTTTTCTAAGGAAAGCATAAGTTGGGTCTCAAGACTCTTTTGATATTGGTCGCGAAAGCCTACGTGTTCAACTCTTTGAGGCGGGCTGTGTATAGTGTTGTTTGTACAGAAAAAAAACATGCTCGATTTGAATGTGCTTAACTCTTACTACAATCAGCATTTACATTAATTCTGAAGCTAAACTATTTCTAGTTTTTTTTTTATTTTACCAGGTAAGGCCCATTGAGCTATATAGCTATTTTCCATGAGCGACCAGGCTCTCACAAACGATAGCTCAACGAAGTGGCTTATCGTGTGGAAATGTATAGCAGCCAAATTCTCGAAACGCACGATCCTAAATGTGGAGGAGAAAACCGAAGGACCCGGAGAAAAATCCACGCGACCACGGGGAGAGAGAGACACGCAAACTCCAAATATACAGCAGGCATCGTCAGGGTCTGGATCGAACCCACGTCCTCGTGTATACCAGGCGAGGTAGTTAACATCTCACTACCGTGATGATGATGAGAGAGAGACATACAAACTCCAAATATACAGCAGGCATCGTCAGGGTCTGGATCGAACAGACGTCCTCGTGTATACCAGGCGAGGTAGTTAACATCTCACTACCGTGATGATGATGATGATGATGAGAGAGAGACACACAAACTCCAAATATACAGCAGGCATCGTCAGGGTCGGGATCGAACCCACGACCTCGTGTAAACCAAGCGAGGTAGTTAACATCTCACTACCGTGATGATGATGAGAGAGACACACACAAACTCCAAATATACAGCAGCAGGCATCGTCAGGGTCGTGATCTAACCTACGTCCTCGTGTATACCAGGCGAGGTAGTTAACATCTCCTAGCCACCGTGATGATGATGAGAGAGGGAGAGACACGCAAACTCCAAATATACAGCAGGCGTCAGGGTCGGGATCGAACCCACGATCTCCTGCATACCGAGCGAGGTAGTTGATATCTCTTAGCCACCGTGATGATGATGAGAGAGACACGCAAACTCCAAATATACAGCAGGCGTCAGGGTTGGGATCGAACCCACGATCTCCTGCATACCAGGCGCGGTAGTTAACATCTCACTACCGTAATGATGATGATGAGAGAGAGACACACAAACTCCAAATATACAGCAGCAGGCATCATCAGGGTCGGGATCTAACCCACGTCCTCGTGTATACCAGGCGAGGTAGTTGACATCTCCTAGCCACCATTGCGCCCTGCACTCTAACTGCGCGACTGGGACTCCGTTCCTCATCTACCTTGAGCGCCTCGCCTGACCCTGAACATATCCTTACACCAACAGGCAAATACATACCAGGTCCACAAAATACGCATCAACATGTTTTCCTTCTGTGCACACGCGCATTGACCAATCATTTGGTTACAAGTCCTAGTTTGAAGTCCTTATACTGGATTTGTTACTTTTATTATTAAATAAATAAAGATACTCTTTAAAAAAAAACACATTCGCCATATTACATGCGCCACTATAAGGCGCACTTCATATCGACAGTGCCGTATAATTTATTTAATACATCGAGTGTAATAATAATAATAACCACAACAGACAATTGTAGCCAGTGTTAGAATAATGCGCACACACACACACACATATATGTATATGCTGTGTGGGTAGTCATACACGTCGAACATTTGAAGTTGGTGATTCATTTCACTCGACTCCCTCTCAAGTCGAAGCCGTAATCCAGCAGCAAAGGAACGCGCAACGCTCGGATTGCAGCAGCAGCAGCAGCAGCGCCACCAGTAACCCACTACCGTATATGCCGTGTATGTTATATATTTTTATGAGCCTTCCGGGATTTTCAATCCATCATTCAGGTTTATTATGGGTTCTTTGGGACCAATTTTCTTCTGTGCTACGCTCCCGTTTATATTCTCGTTACGCCCCTAATGGCGCTGTCAAGTGGGCTCTCGTTTCTAAACGTGGTTTGCGAGGGCGCGATTGAATGAATGTGCGCACAGGCATCGCGCACACCGGCAGCTGCTGCTGTTGTTGCGTGCTCATTGTCAACAACAGCATGGGCCGCACCCCATGGCTTGGTTGAGCGTTGATCATAAATACGCCTATAGGGGGTGACTCATGCATGATTCACGAAAGGGTTTTTTTTTAGACAGGTGTTTGAACAGCGTAATTGCAATGTTGGCAAGACGTTCATCTCTACTCCTTGAATTGTTTTTTTTTTATAAATTTAAAATTAAAAGTTCGAGTGACCGTCAACAGAACGGAACACAAGGGGTTTGGAATCCCGAGATGTTAGCGGAACACAATGACACACACTCTAAATCTCCACGCGGTGTCAGTCTGGCAAACTCCACGGCGGACACGTGCGAGGGTGAGAGGGATGAGACTCGGTGCAGCATTATTATTGGTAGTAGTAGTAATCCTGTATATACATAACACTACCAAATTAAGTGTGCGTGAGTGGGGTGGCGTGGTGGTTTGTGGGGAGCGGTGGCGCAGTGGATGGCGCACTACGAACCCGGCGACTCGACTCCAACAACAGTGACGACTATTTGAACTGGTCCTGGGCCTCACCTAGCTCGGCTCAGCCTAAAATAAATACCTGGTTACGGTGTGCTAAACATCGCCACTAGGGATACAAAGTGAGCCGAGTGTGGTGTTGGCCACACACCCCCTCGTGTGCCGTGCTGGCCTTCATAGGGGCTCTCCAACAGCACTTGCCCCCGAAAGTGCGTTAGAGGCTATACGAGTGATATCATCACTTTAATTAACTCACAGACCATTGTCAATATATTGCTGTGTGAAGGGCAATGCCGTGACGTGATGGGGACTGTGGAACCATCAAAGGTGTGCCTGGCGCGGTGTGTAAACATCGCCACTCGGGAGACGAAGGCGGCTCGGGGTGGTGCTGGCCACCCACGCCGTCTGTGCCGTGCCCGCCTTCGCTAACGCCACTTGCCCCAAACATTTGTTGAGGCTATACGAGCGATCTGTGCTTGTCACCAGACTTCAATGCGGGTCGGGTGATATAATTCTCCACGTGACGCAGAATCGAACTCGTGTTGCCTGGTTCATGGCGCAGTGTGCTTACGAACCGCTATATTCGCATAATTGCCCTAATTAATAAAGATACCTTCATGGGCATTCTGTACAATATTCAGGAAACCCGTGTCTGCGTAAAAACGCCGACATATATATCTATTACGCACGTGTTGCACGTATGACATGCGCGCAGCTCGAAAGGTCGAGTGCGTGTAGAGGTCACCTACACACGCCTGCACAGGTGTATGTAGAGGTGTGTGTGTGTGTGTAGGTAACGCACGCAAGTGTGTATATATGCGTGTGTAGGTGACAGTGGTGTGTGTAGGGGTGTGTAGGTGACATCCACACAGATGTATGCGTGCAGGTGTGTGTATGTGAGACACGCAGGTGTATGTGTAGGTGTGCGTGTAGGTGCGGTAGTGTAGCGGTTAGCGCGCTGCGCTACGAACCTTTCAATTCCCGTTCACGGCCAATACCGGTCACGACTATTTCAACCGTTTCTGGGCCTCCCCTAGGTCGACTCAGCCTCAAATGAGGACCTGGTGCCATGTGCAAACATCGCTACTAGGGAGACAAAGGCGGCCGGGCGTTGTGTTGGCCACCCACCCCCTCGTGTGCCGTGCCGGCCTTTACAGATACTCGCTAACAGCACTTGCCCCAACAGTTTGTTACAGGCTACACGGGGCATCTTTTGTCGTTGTAGGTGACACCCAGCGGTGTGTAGGTGCTTGTAGGGGCGTGTAGAGGTGACAATCCACTCAGATACGTGTGTGTGTGTAGGTGCGCGCGCAGATGCAAGTGTAGGTGGCACGGGTTTCGAGAGTGCTACCTGTGGTCTCGCAGGTGATCCTGCCTCCGGAACGCCTTGTGGCAGATGTCGCACGTGTAGGGCCGCTCGTCCGTGTGCGTGCGCTCGTGGATCAGCAGGTTGTAGCTCTTGGTAAAGTGGCGGCAGCAAAACTTGCAAATGAACTCCTTCTTCGCCTTGGAGGGCGCTCGCCCGCGCGTCGCTTTGCGCTCCCCTCTCTGCTCGACCGCGGGGGCGCCGATCACCGCGGACACCACCGCGGCTCCCCCTCCTCCTCCCCCTCCTTCTCCCCCTCCTCCTCCTCTCCCTCCTCCTCCTCCCCCACCTCCTCCTCCTCCCGCCAGCGCGGCGCTCTTGAGCCTCTTCTCCTCCTCCAGGTTTTCGCGTCGGGTCGCTGCCGCCGCGAGGTTCGCGAAGTCGAACCTCGGCCGCTCCTTGCGCGCCAGCAGCGAGTGGCGTTTGTCGTCCGCGTGGAAGGAGGATGAGGAGGATGAGGAGGTGGCGTGGTGGTGGTGGTGGTGGTGGGGCGACAGCGGCAGGAGCGGCAGAGGAAAGCGACCCTCGAGCACCGCGCAATGCTCGGGGAGCACCGCCGCGGCCAGGCGCGGGTAGCCGAGGGTCCACTGCTGCAGGTGAAGCCCCTGCAGGGCGCCGAATCCGTACAGCGCTTCGAGGCCCGGCGGGAGGGCGCCCACCGCTTGCAGGAGGTTGTAGTTGACGGTGAAGGGCAGCGCCGGGTTGATGGGTATGGGGGCCGGCAGCGCTTTGTTCCCCATGGCCAAAGGGGTCGGCGGCGGCGTGGGTAGCTGGAAGCACGTCCGCGCCGGCGAGCCTGTGTGTGTGTGCGTGTGAGCGCATATATCGGCACATGTCAGAATGTGTGTTTGCGCTGGAGGAATCCGACGAGCTGCGATGCGAGCTCTTTGTTTGTCCGCACGTCTGTTCGGGTCGTGTCATCGGCAGTGTCATTAGCAACGGTGTCAGTGTCATCCATCAGCAGTAATAATAATCATTCGTGAGGTCTCGCATCATCATAATTATCATAATTAGGATTGTTGTCAGCTCATCATCAGCAGCAGCATCAGACGTGGACAATCCACCGATGGATGAAGTCCACACCCCCTCCCCTTTGCTCCCGCTGTCCCCCCCCCCCAACCCCAAGCTGTCATCGCATCTCACAGCCCTGTGATTGACGTACAGGTAACGTTGTAAGAGAAAAATAATCCACTCCACTGCGGGGAACATTTCGTCGCTGCATCTCACACGGAGCGGCGCTTTGTGCATAACACAGCACGAGTATTGCACCTTGCAGTTCGCCTTCGATGGTTCGCTACTGGGACCACCTGAAGGATGCCATGTACCGAGTGGATCGCTCTGTGCGGAGACCAAATCACTGGAGATGCGCTTCATATCGTCGTATATCGGGAAGGCACGCAGGGTCGAGGATGGATACAGCGCATTGCTACATCGATCGATATGCTACCAAGGAAGAGAACTGGGTTCCAAACGTTTGGAGGGGGGGGGGGTCTCATCTGCAGAGTGTATTCTCTCAAACAAATGCGAGCGGTTTGCCACATCCACGTGTTATTGGCATGTGGACCCCATCAATGCCACGAAGCGCAGTCCAGCGTAGCGAAAGAAAAACATCGAGTGCAGTGGGATTTTAATGCGATGACGTTTGCACGTTAATGTGTCTGAATTTGTGATGGTTGTTTTACGCGTTACGTCACAGGTATTTATTAGTGTGGTTATTGTTGTTATGGGGTTTTATTTTGTTTTCCTATATTTTAGTTTGCCTTACATTTCGCATTGTTGTTGTTGTAACAATGGTACGCTGGTTGTCTTATTTATTTAATGGATCCCTATTAAACGCGTTTGTTTTGCATGGCGTTTTCATTTGACCCGTCTCACCCCCCCCTCCTCCCCCCGACTAAGATACTCCTCGTCTCTTACATTAATGTCTCTTACATTAATGTCTCGCACATTACAGAACGCACACAAAAGTAACAACCGACCCTTTTTGCAATTCACTGCTGAACGGGAGCTTCTCTAATGCTGTGCGGACCGTGGGGGTTATTTCTTTTTTTTTTAACCATACTTCAACAACGCCGTGTTAATGCTTTTTCGTTGAAGAATATTTTGTGAATGTAGTCCTGCCAATTCCGCCACTCGCCTCCCCCCCCCCCCCCGCCCCACTCCTCTTTTGCGTTGAACTTTCCGGCCTCGCTATAGCCATAGCTGCAATGTTTTGGGGTTGTGTATTTGTGCGCCACATGTAGCTGGATATCTGCGGTGGTACGAGCAGCAGCAGCAGTAGTGATCACAACGTCCTATCGAAGCTTCGCGTGTTACTTATCTTGGCATCAACAAATGCCGCGTTTGTTAGCTCCTACTCCTGACCAATTGGGCACAGATACAGGCTCTTGACGATCAGGACGCTTGCGACCACGTTGTGAGTTTATGTGTGGTATTAAAAAAAAAACTAAAATAGGCGAAGGGTTGACCGGTAACGCAGAGATGAGCGCACTCCGCTAAGACATCTGGCGCGTCCTGAGTTCGATTCTCTGCCGTGGTTGATACCAGTGGCGAGTGGTGATTATCTGGACCGATTCTGTGCCTGCTACCCGCAATCACCGTTCGCCAACCTACACCGAACAGGGCGGTGAAGTATGACCAGCAACCCTCATCTGTGGCGTTTGGTATACGAACATTTGTGTCTGCGTGGGAATTCGACAGCTCTTAGTCAACCCACTGCTGGAAAACCAGACATGGGTTAATCTTGATTTGAAGCTTTCGTGAGTGCAGGAATCCATACTCTTTGGTTCTTTCGGTAAAGTCACGTAGGTAGAAACATTTAATAAAATGAATCAGGTGGGAAAGCATGCGTTGATTTATCTTATTTCATACCTACGTGACTTTACCGAAAGAATGAAAGAGTACAGACATGGGTTAAACTAAATTAGTCACCTAGAGCCTCCAACACACTGGGAGGTGACGTGGACGTGGTGCTGTATATTCTCAAAACCGATTTGGTTTCGAACCCTAGGGCCGGCTATGAGTTATTGCGTGTGGAGGTTCGTTGAATCGAAATGCGATATCGCGTTTCCAACACTTCAACAGTCACGCTGTTCAGACGATACGTTTTGCCAAATCCAGTTTATGGTGTTTTGCTGCAGAGTGTGACGCTAAAGCCCACAGAAAGCAGAGAAGAAGGAAAACAATCCCGCCGCTGCCGATTAATAAACTAAACTATCACGAAACTTTTATTTATATTTTACCAGTTAAGGCCCAATGAGCTTGTCTGGCTCTTTTTCAGAAGCGACCTGGCTGTCGCAAATGATAGTTCAACGAAGTGGCTTATCACGTGGACATTTCAAGCAGACAAATACGCTAAACGCACGTTTCGAAATGTGGAGGGCAAAACCGGAGGACCCGGAGAAAATTTTTACGCGACTGTGGAGAGAGAGAGAGAGAGACGCAAACTCCAAATATACAACAGGCGTCAGGGTAGGGATCGAACCCACGATCTCCTGCATACCAAGCGAAGTAGTTGACATCTCTTAGCCACCGTGATGATGATGATGAGAGAGAGAGACACGCAAACTCCAAATATACAGCAGGCGTCAGGGTCGGGATCGAACCCACGATCTCCTGCATACCAAGCGAGGTAGTTGACATCTCTTAGCCACCGTGATGATGATGATGAGAGAGAGAGACACGCAAACTCCAAATATACAGCAGGCGTCAGGGTCGGGATCGAACCCACGATCTCCTGCATACCAAGCGAAGTAGTTGACATCTCCTAGCCACCATGATGATGAGAGAGAGAGACACGCAAACTCCAAATATACAGCAGGCGTCAGGGTCGGGATCGAACCCACGATCTCCTGCATACCAAGCGAGGTAGTTGACATCTCTTAGCCACCGTGATGATGATGATGAGAGAGAGAGACACGCAAACTCCAAATATACAGCAGGCGTCAGGGTCGGGATCGAACCCACGATCTCCTGCATACCAAGCGAAGTAGTTGACATCTCCTAGCCACCATGATGATGATGAGAGAGAGAGACACGCAAACTCCAAATATACAGCAGGCGTCAGGGTCGGGATCGAACCCACGATCTCCTGCATACCAAGCGAGGTAGTTGACATCTCTTAGCCACCGTGATGATGATGAGAGAGAGAGACACGCAAACTCCAAATATACAGCAGGCGTCAGGGTCGAGATCGAACCCACGATCTCCTGCATACCAAGCGAAGTAGTTGACATCTCCTAGCCACCATGATGATGATGAGAGAGAGAGACACGCAAACTCCAAATATACAGCAGGCGTCAGGGTCGGGATCGAACCCACGATCTCCTGCATACCAAGCGAGGTAGTTGACATCTCTTAGCCACCGTGATGATGATGAGAGAGAGAGACACGCAAACTCCAAATATACAGCAGGCGTCAGGGTCGAGATCGAACCCACGATCTCCTGCATACCAAGCGAAGTAGTTGACATCTCCTAGCCACCATGATGATGATGAGAGAGAGAGACACGCAAACTCCAAATATACAGCAGGCGTCAGGGTCGGGATCGAACCCACGATCTCCTGCATACCAAGCGAGGTAGTTGGCATCTCCTAGCCACCGTGATGATGATGAGAGAGAGACACGCAAACTCCAAATATACAGCAGGCGTCAGGGTCGGGATCGAACCCACGATCTCCTGCATACCAAGCGAGGTAGTTGACATCTCCTAGCCACCGCGGTGCCTTCAGGAGCATGCCACGCGCGCTGTGTGGACTTCCGGCGATTGTTGAATGGCGCTGTCAAGGAGTAGGAAGCACGCGCCATTTGAGCGCTCTGTCGGTGCTTGGGATCGTGGAAGATTCCCATTGATCGTAGTCAGGTTCAATTCCCGAGTGGTGGTGGTGGTGGCTACGCTGCTGCGCGTGATCGCCTGTAATCCAGCACTGTGGAGGCGACAGCGAGGGTTAGTGGATCACACCGACGGTGACGTTGTGAGGCTACTCCCTCCCCATGGGAGTCGAGGAGGTGCCATATACTGTACAACCCTGGCTAGTCGCGCGAAAAAAAAAAGGGCACGACTGGGAAGTGGACGAGTCGCCGTCTGTTTCCATCTCTGCGGGGATAGAGCGTTGCCCCCTCGTGCAAGGCGTGGATTTTCTGCGGGTGCTCCGCTTTCCTCGCACACATGTATAATGATATAAACACAAATCGTCATTAGTTGACTGCAAACTTGTTGAAAATGAAAACCCAATGCAGCATCAGGAACCTCCTGAAAAAGAGTCGTGTACGACTCAGTGTGGCTATCTTGGATAACCAAGTAAATTATTACTCTTACAACAACAACAACGAAGACGGTCACTGCATGGCGCACTTTCGAAAACGCTTCTTGCAGCCGTCTGGAACGCTCATATCGAATTCCTTCCGATGTTACGAAGCCACTGGAGCTGTACACTTTTAATTCTAAATTGAAAGCGAATTTCTGTAGAACTGCTTTTTTGTGTTTAGTTTGTTGTCCCCCGCCGCCCAGCACCTCCGATTAGCACGGTTGGCCACGCACGGTGCGAAAGAAGTTTCGACGTGCGTACGATACAACATTGGGAGAAAAGCGACGCTCACCAACAGCGATAAGGCGGGGGCGCCGGGCATGTAAAGCGTCGCAAAACTGGTGGCACAGTGGGGAGCGCAGATTGATGCACAAGGCAGCTTTGTCAGTCGCCCAAGCTGACCCACGACACTCGGCGCTGTCGCAAGGCCGCATGGCACCGAAGTGCATAAGCCACGTGGCCTGGCAGCAAGCTCCGTGATCAGTGACGTGACCACCACGGCGTGGCCAATGGCGGTGGTTGTTTGCGTGTCGCGTGTTGTTGTTGTCGTTGATTTTCTCGTGGTTTGCTGATCAACACCGACACGCGGGTAAGGTCATAAACTTTACTTACGGCGTTATATATGTGTGTGTATGTGTGTCCAGTACTAACACGGCCTCTCATTCGCGTCCATCCTTTACAGGTGACCGAGCACACCTTTCAACTAGCAAGGCAGTAACATTGCCACGTGTAGAAAAAACCCAAAAATTCCCCTCCTAGTAAACC